TAACCACTAGACACACACGAGATAATAACCCCTCAAAGCACCCCCAGCAGGTAGATAGCAATGGAAAGGGAACACACTTCTGTCCCAAACGCTGCCGATGAGCAAAAGGAAGCAGACAAGTGAGCCGAAAACTGACTGATGGCTTCACGGAGTGGGACACAGAAGTCAGACTTCAATGCCTCCTTCATTACAGACACCGACTCTTCACTTCCTGGCCTTCTTGTGGTTCGGCAGTTTGCATTTAAGACAGTAGTAGAAGATGGATTGTCCATTTGTGGGATGCTTTGCCCTGGGTTTTCTCCCCTTGCCCAGCCCCTGGCCCGCAGAGCCCACCACTGGGGAAGCCAGCTCTCCAGAAGGCTGCCTGCAGGTCCCATTCCCCAGCTACTCCATTGCAGCTCTTCATGCAAAAGGGGCCCCCAGCCAGATTCTGAGTGGCCCGAGGGGTCAGGGAGGCGATAGGAGCAGAGGAGGAGGCTGCCGCTGCTGCTTTGCACACCTGGAGTGCTTAGATGAAGTCTGCCGCAGTGGGGGCACGGGGTCCGTTAGGACCAGGGAGCAGCAAAGAAGTTGGCATTGCTCACCTCTGCAGCCTGGATCGTGGACTCACAGTAAGCTTGAAAAGGTCCCATGTAGGTTGCCCTGGCTTGGTAGCATCTCTTTCTGGCTGGCTGTAATTTTAGTGCTAGAATCTTGGAGTACTACGCAACAGTCATTTCACAGGGGCAAGCTAGAACATACTTCATTCCGTGGGCACACTAAACAGTATGTTCTATTTTTCATCTTGCTAAGGAAATATTTCAAACATATGAACATATGGCTAAGCCACCCACTGCCATCACATTGATTGAGATGTGTCAAAACCCTCAAATGCACAGATGTCAAGTTGATTCTGGGTTGTAAATCTGCCTCCCCTGCCATGACCCTTTGAAACTATTCATCCAGTTGTTGTCTCTATAGGTTTACTTTCCTGGGTTTCATATACAGAAAAACATACAAAATCAAAGCACATACAGAAGAACTGAGCAATACAATTTGACCTCCTAAACATATAAAAAAACACTCCACTAACAAGAGCACAATATGCATTATTTCAGTGCACAGGGAACATTCTCTAGAATAGAACATGTCAGGCCACAAAGCAAGCCTTAAAACATTGAAAAACAAGATATTATAAGCCATTTTATCAGGCCACAGAGCTATGTAAAATTATAAATCAATAAGAAGATAAAGGAAAAAAAACAAAATAATGGAAACAGAATAGCATGCCACTTTAAAACAAGTGGGTAATTGAAGAAATAAGGAATGAAATTTATAAATATCTTGAAATGAAATGAAAATGAAAATGCAACACGCTAAGCCTTTGGGACATAGTAAAATCAGCACTTAGAGGGTCATTTACAGCAATAAATGCACACCAAAAAAGAAGAGAGAACCAAAATCAACACCTTAACCTAACATCTTCAACAATCAGTACAGGAACAACAAAATAAGCCTTCATCCTCCAGAAGAAAATACATAATTAGGATTAGAATAGAAATAAGTGAATCAGGAAACAGAAAAACAATGGAAACATCAAGACAGGAGTCTGGTTATCTAAAGTATTAAAAAATTTGATAAATCACTAGCAAACAACAAAGAAAAATGTGACTATCAAGAATAAGAAATGAAATTGACAATATCATAACAGAAGCAACTGAAATAAAAAAGATATTACAATACTATGAAGGGCTATATTCCAACAGATTTGAAATCCTAGATAAAATGGACAAATTTATAGAGAAACTACCTACCTAATTTTAAAAAGATGGATGTAGAAAATCACAACAGACCCATAACAATAGAAGGAACAAGTCATTAAAAAAACTCCCAACCCACCAGAAAGGAACAGATGGCTTCTCTGGAGAATTCTACCAGCCATATACAAACTATACCAGAATACAGAGAAAGATTGCAAACTCTAGAAATCTTTTTTTAAAAGTAAACATAACCCTGATACCCAAACCAGCCGAAGACATTGCCAGAGTAGAAACTTATAGACCAGTGTCCCTTGTTAACATAGATACGATTCTAAAAAAAATCCCAGTTCGTAGAATTAATGTGTGGGTGTGGGTGTCATGATCAACTGGGAGTCAGTTCAAGTATGCAAAGATGGTTCAACATCAGAAAAACCATCAATGTAATCCAACATATAAATAAAAGATAAGAACTACCTGATTATATAAACTGGTGAAGACAGGCATTTGGCAAAATCCATCACTCCTGATAAAAACCCCAGCAAAATAAAAATAGAAGAGATATGTCTAGCATAATAAAGGCCATAGATAAAGAATCAGAGGCCAACATCTCACTCATCGGGGGACATGGAAAACATTCCTCCAGTTAAGGGAAACCAGAGAAGGATGCCCTTTATTACCACTCCATATTGTGCTGAAAGGCCTAGCAGCTATAGACAAGAAAAAGACATTTAATTAGCAAACAAGTAGTAAAACTTACCCTGTTTTGCAGATGATATGATTCTATAGGTCAAAAAACTCCAAAGCTGCAATAAGAAAACTATTGGAAATAATTGAAAAGTTTGGCAGCATGGCAGAATTTAAGATCAATGTACAAAAATCAATATCTTCCTGTATACTAACAGTGAGAGTCTGAAAAAAGAAATGGAGGAGACAATACCATTTGCAATAGCCGCCCAAAAGATGACATACCTATGAATAAACCTAACCAAAGAGATGAAAGACCTCTACCAAGAAAACTACAGAACATCACAAGAAAACAGAAAAGACCTACATAAATAGAAGAATGTGCTGTGCTAATGGATAGGCAAGCTTAACATTGTTAAAATGCCAATGCTACCTAACACAAGCTATAAATCTGATACAATTCCAACCCAGATTCCAGCATCATTCTTTGCAGAAATGGAAAAACGAATCACTAACTTTATTGGAGAGGTAAGAGAACTAGGGTAAGCAAAACACTACTTATAGAGCACAACAACGTAGCAGGCCTTTCACTTCCCAACCTTAAATCCTTATGCAGCCACAGCAGTCAAATAGCCTGGTACTGGTTCAACAGTAGATTTGCAGACCTCTGGAACAGACTAGAGAACACAGAAATACATCCATTCACCTACAGACATGTGGCCACTTGGACGTAAGCAAAATGTGATTTTAAAACTAACGAGGTGGAGGACTGATGCTCCATATCTGAACGGTTTGTCTCAAGCATGCCCCACAGATGGATTTCTTTCCTTTGCCCAGTTAAGAATAACAAGGCAGGGAGCCAAAGTTACTGTGCAAGTAAACATGTTGATTAGGGCAATACCTTGCAAGGATTGACATGGTGAGGGCCCCAAGACAACCAATGGAGGAGAGTTTTTTTTAAGGAGTTTAAGGGAATGACACTGTTTATTCATGAACAGAGATATGGTAATTGGATCTGCGTGCAACAGGTGTTTGAAAATGGAGTCCAAGGTTAAAGCTTCTGGGTAGGCTGCCATCGCTTATTTTGGGATGGTGCACATGTGCTGGGCAGCTAGTTCCTTCATGCTCTCTGCCCAGGTGTTCTTTGCTATTGGTTCCAACTCGAGGTCACAGGTGTGGGCTCTGCGCCTGCTCCTGTAACTGGTTTAAACTGGTTACATGAGTGAATGCTGCAGAGCAAGAGTGTGAAACTAAAAGATTGTTCTTACAGGGGTGAAAAATACTATTTTTTTCTATTGTTTTGAAAAATACTATTCTTGTGTGGGTGAAGGTCAGTGGAGAAAATAGAAAGTGGTGCAGGTTTTCCTACTATGCCACAATGTAAAATATTAACTGGATGTGGGTGTGATTGAGCCCATATGTGTTGGCTTGGGGAAATTCCTGAAAGGCATCTAGATGTAAATGAAAAATTGGAGTGGAAAAATCCAGCATATTTTCTAATCGGTCTCACACTACCTTGGGTGAGTATTCCCAGTGGTCATCTCCTAAGATTTTCTGGGTTTTAAGTCTGCTAGCAAGTGTGTATACTGTTTCTTTCATTCATCTTTGAAACAGGTTTTCCATTTCTCAATTAGATGAATAGTTTGTCATTCTTTGTTACCAAATCAATGTGAGCAATATTCTCTTCATCCCCCTCCCCCCAAATTTACTCTAATGTTCTCTGAGCCTATAGATTTGCAAGTTGTTCCTTCCTTTCTTCCCACACCTAGTCTCCATTCTTCCATCAGACAACTGGTAGCTATTGTGTTTGATGTGGTATAGGAGATGCTGGGATTCAGGGGTAAGTGAGGTAGACTTGGTCCTGACCTTCACGAAGGTCCATCCTTTTACCTGGCACTAAGAGAGTTCCCAGGCGGTTACAGCACAGTATGAGAGATGTTTCTTGATCAGGGAAGTTCACAATGCCTAGGCACCTAACCCAGCCTGGATGATCAGAGAATAGTTAGGACTAGGATGAGGAAACATGTGCTTAGGACACACAGTGTAAGGATGCTCCCATTCTTGAGAGTTTGGCCTGGCCCCAGTATGCTCTCAGAAGATGTGGAAGATCAAGCTGGAGTTGTACCAGAATGTTCATATGCGAGGGGCTTCCAAAGTTTGTGAGAAAATTCTATGAAGCCCCCTTGTGTTTTCTGGAGGTAGACCCCAAGGAAACTTCCTTTTCAACTGATTGGTAGATCAAATCACAAGGTGATCATTGGTAATCAATAGCAATCAGTCCAATATCTGGCTAAATGGCTGAGAATGATATAGCTTAGCCACACTGACATGTAAAATTAACCAGCACAATGTTTTAGTAGATAATTGCTAATATAGTACTCCGAACAACCTTATGCGATAGGCACTGTTACAGTCTTTAACTTTCTGATGAGTAAATGCTAAGTGACTTGAAGATCGTCTATCTGTTAAGCAGTGGAGCCAGGATGTGGGCCCAAGTAGAATGGCTCCTGAGTTTGCCCCTTAACCGTTTTCTTAGTTTTTTTTAAAAAAGATAATTTGTTGGCTTTTTCTTTTTAGATTGTATCAAGGTCAGAAGAAATCAAAAGAAGCTCTACTTCATTATCAAGAGGCATTGGAATATATCGAGAGAAGTAAAGGTGAAAAAAGTCTTGAGTGTGCTCCCGTCTTGAGGGAACTAGCAGGTGTAGAACAAACCTTGGGACTTCACGACGTGGGCATCAACCATTTAATACAGGTAAGCATCGCTGTACTGGCCATCCAAGCTGGTCTAGGCCTGGTGCTTTTCATAGCCACAAGTATGCTAGCAACTCTGAGCTGCCTGGCTTTGTTCTTTGCTATAGATGAGTAGAACACTTGACATATTTGTTAGATGGCCAAGGAAAGGCTGGAGGCTGGGCCCTTTTACCAGGGGCATGCCGCGGTCCAGCCGCGGCGGGGTGAAGGGTCCCCTGTTCGGTGGGTAAGGCGTCGACGCAGCGAGAGGGATGAGCAGAGTCAGGAGTCAGTGATCATCTGCTGCTTTCTTACAATTTTAAGGTTCTATTTAAACAATATTTTCTGACAATCATACAATCAAAGCGGAAAGAAAAAAATCTTAATAATAAAAGGTGAAAGTATAAAGTTTTCCAGGGCATTCTGTTTAAATCTTCTTGGAACGTTCTTTCTGGGTGACTGGTTCATTTAAGTTTTCAATCTTGACCAACGTACATTGTGATTAACCGTAGACATGAATGGTTCTTGAAATAGGTCTGTGGTAATGGTGCCAAACAGTGTTCAAGTTCAAGGAAGTGGATAGGAGAAAATTGGCATGAACTTAAAATACAAAGTTCTAAGTTAGCTAAATATTCTTTCTATGCTTCATCAATCTTACGTTCTTTAAGCCTTCGTTCCATTTCTTTTACCTGCCTTTCCAATGGGGCTTCCACTGTTCTCTTGTTTCCATTATGCACCATCTACACAATCCACTCTGTAATAACGTTTTTGTACACCTTACTTTGTCTTCAATAGATCTAACGCACCAAACTGGGCCACCCCTTTTTATTCTTTCCCATAAAAATAAGGTTGAAAATTTTACACGCTTCCCATTTACCTCAATAATATGTTCTCCATTGTCGCCATAAATGCCAGTGTAATTCAAAGGAGGGAGAGCAGTCTTAGGGTTTTTTCATTACTGTCCCCTTTACTGTAAGCAAATTTATTAAGGGGTTTTACTGAGTGAATCAAGGGTTGTTTCTTATCTTTGGCACTCTTTCCCAGAAAGGCAGTCATAGGGAACTTCTCGGGAGTTACTGTAGTCAGTTGGGGTTGTTCCAGTTCTAACTTTTGCATTTTTCCATAAATATACCAAAATCCTCATTCCCTTGTATGGCTTTGATAATTAACTCAGTCATTCTATCACATGCATCCCTTCTCTTTATGGGTACTGTGATTTCCCCTGAATTATTCATCGTGGTCTCATTATTGCTCATAGTGGCAATAATGGTTTCATTTTTACATGGTCCGGGATAAAACATAAACATACTCCAGAATATCATAGCGGCAACAACAAAACAATTTGTCAGCGGATTCCGGCAACCAATTCCTACAGTCCGACTTCTTTGAAGTCGGGCCATCTGTCGCTGGACTTTGTCCTCAACGTCAGCCAGCAGGAGTGGTCCCATCAGGGGCACATTCTCTAAACAGCCCAAAACTGCTTAAAAAGAGTTTTACTCACACTGTGTGTATAGTTTAAGTCTTATTTCACAGGTAGAATCTCTTTATCATTCCCCAAATTTAAACCTTCTGCCACTGAATTGATTCCTACCCAAAGTGACCTTATATGGAGTGTTTCTCAGATTGTAAATCTGTGTAGGAGCTTAAAGCCTCAGTTTTTTCCAATGGAATGGCTGATAGATTTGAACCACTGGCCTTCTGGCTAGCAACTGAATGCCTAACCCAGAGCAACAGCAGGACTTCTTCTTTATCGTTAGTATTTATTTATTTATTTATTTGAAGATTATGTGAGGAGGCTTTAAATGGTTTGTGGGAAAATGAAATTGAAATATAATGGATTTTGCCAGCAAACGTTTTAAAACCCATTTGTGTTAAGAAATTGATTTGGATTTTTTCCCCTAGTACCTTCTAACATCTTTATCTCATGCTACTTAAAATCATCTACTAGCTGATTTTCGTCATCATAAAAATTTTCTGTGAATTAGGAGTTTTTAAAATCATATCATATACCTGAAAATTTTTCTCTGTTAAAATTATTAAACATAGTATGAAATGTTCCTGTTATTTCAAGTAAGAGATAATGACGGCTTTATTAGAATATCCTCAATTCTCATTTTATGTGGATTATTTCTGGATGTATCTGGAGATACATTTATATTTCCTTTTGTAGGTCAGAAGTGAGGAAGTTGAGTGATCCTCTTTCCTGAGACGACATGGTCAATAAATGGCAGAGCTCTGATTCAAACCCCAGTATTTTTCAGCCACATTAATCTGGCTGAGTTAGGGAATAGATTATGGAAAATAAGAGACAAGTTAGAAGACTTTTGAAGTAACAAAGGCTAAAGATGATGGTAGCTTAGACTAGGATTGATTATAGTGGCAAGAAAGAAAAGTAATATTGAAAATATGTAAGAGGTGGGATTGATAAATGGTACTTAGTGGCTCATTGGATGTGAGGAAAAGGGAAGAGTCAAAGGTGAGTCCCCCACCTGCTCAGAGCATTTAGCGTTGGGAATGGGTGTTATTGTATGATGGAGAAATGATGACCTTCACACTTAACATTTGTTTTGTTTTTTTCCATTGAGGGAAATATGAAACAAAATATTTGCCTTTTCAACATTCATTACATTTTACAACATCCTGTGATTATGGTTTTTTTTATATTAATCAACTATCACTACTATTTGTTTCCAGATTTTTCCATCACTCATAACAAAAGGGCATTGTTGAGTAGTGAGTCCTCCTTTCCACCTTTCTCTACCCACCCCTCTTATCCTCTGAGTTAGTCTGGGTACTTTAGAGAAACAAATCCACAGAGACTCATGTATAAGAGAGGGTTTTATATAAAGGTTAAGTGCGCATTAAGAAAGCATCCCAACCCAGTGCTGCCCAAGCTCATAAGTCGAACATTAACCCATTAATCCATATGTCCAACACCAATCCACAAAGTCCTCCTCCATCTCACAAAACACACGCAATGATGCCGACTGCAGGAGGAAAGCCGAGTCAGTGAATGTGTAAGCATCTCAGCACTGGCAGGATTTTCCACACGGCTGCCTCAGCACCCAGGGCTGCATCGGGGTAGGTCCATGTGGCTTCTCCTCAGGAATGTCTTGCAGTAAATGAGCCTTGCCAGCTAAAGCAGGGAACTGGCTAAGGCAGCTAGCTGCACCCTGGTCCAACCATCAGAAAACAAGAGACTGGAGAACTCAAAAGGCAAGGCTCATCGAGCCATTTATCCTTCCGCCCTTCAATTAGCCCCACATGTGTTTATCGGACAGGTTGGCAAAATAAGCTAACTACCTCATCCTCTAATAAACTTTTATGCACTTGCCTATTCTGGATATCTCATTTCAGGAGTTCATATAATATACTGAGTGATGCAGGCAGCATCAAGAGGAGATGGACAGAATACACAGAGTCCCGGTCCCCAAAAGAACTAGTTGACATTCTACCATTAAAGGAGATAATAGCATATGACAGAGAACCAATGGTGCTGCACTGAAGGCATTATCCAAAAACAAGGCCCCAGGAGTTGATGGAATACCAACTGGAATGGTTCAGCAGGCCCAAGAAGCACTGGCAGCGCTCACTCATCTATGTCAGGATGTTTGTAATACAGCTACCTGGCCAACCAACTGGAAGAGATTCATATGCGTGCCTATTCCAAAGAAAGGTGACCCAACATAATGATCAAATTATAGAATAATATCATTAGTATCACATGTGTTTTAGGCCGGGTTGACTAGAGAAACAAATTCAAGAACACTCATATATGTATAGGAAAGAGCTTTATATACAAGAGCAATTGTACATTGAGAAAACATCCCAGCCCACTCCAGATCAAGTCCATAAGTCTGATATGAGCCCATATGTCCAATACTAGTCCATAAATTCTTCTTCATACTCACACAGCAGATGCAATGATGCCAAATGCAGGATGATCACAGGTTGGTGGGTGGAAAGTCTTGCGGATCCAATCCAGCCCTGGCTGGGCCAGCTTCTGAGTGCCTCAACAGCAGGAAAGTGAAGCAGAGAGAGAGTGTGTGGTCTGCTTCTCAGGAGAAAGAGAGGAAGTTCCCAGAATCCTCATAGAGGCCATCCCACATGGAGGCATCTTCAGGCTGTGACCTGATTAACAAGCTAGACTCCACCCCTTCACCTATTTATCACGTTGACTTGAAATCATGTAACTACCTCAACATGCAAGTACAGTTTTGCAGAAGATCATCCACCAGCGGTGGCAGCAGGACATTGACAGGGAGCTGTCAGAGGTTCAGGCCAGATTCAGAAGAGGATATGGAACAAGGATTATCATTGCTGATGTTAGATGGATCTTGGCTCAAAGCAGAGAATACCAGAAGAAAAAAATGTTTACTTGTGTTTCATTGATTATGCAAAGGCACCCAACTGTGTAGACCATAATAAGCTACGGATATCCTTAAGAAGAGTGAGAATTCCAGAACACTTCATTGTGCTCATGAGGAACTTGGATATGGATTAAGAGGCAATTATGCAAATAGAAAAACGGAGTCCAATATGGTTTAAAATCAGGAAAAGTGTGCCTCAGGGTTGTATCCTCTCGCCATATTTTTGCAGTCTGTATGATGGCCAAATCGTCAGAGAAGCTGAGTGATCTGAGGAAGAATGTGGCATCAGGAGTGAAGGAAGACTTTAACAACCTGTGATATGCAGGTGACACAGCCTTGCATGCTGAAAGTAAAGAGGACTTGAACTTGCTTTCTAATGAAGATCAAGGATTGTAGCCTTTAGTATGGATTACAACTCAGTGTAAAGAAGACCAAAATCTTTAGAACTGGTCTAATAGGTAACATGATAAATGGAGAAAATATTAAAGTTGTCCAGGATTTTATCTTGCTGGGATAGGACCCACAATCAATGTTCATGGGAGTAACAGTCAAGAGATCAAACAAGAAACTACATTAGGTAAGTCTGGTGTGCAAGACCTCTTTAGAGTATTGAAGAGCAAGGAGGCTGCTTTGAAGACTAAGGTGTGCCTGG